TAGGGCAGTATAAGAAAGCAAACTGAGCAAGCCACAGGGAGTAGCCCAGTAAGCAGCATTCCTCCATAGCTTCTGCTTTAGTCCCTGCCTCCAGTTTCCGGCCTTGAGTTCCTGCCCTAGCTTCCTTTCAAGATGGACCAGAAACTGTAAGCTAAAATGAACCCTTTCCTCTCCAACTTGGTTTTGGTTATGGTGTTTATCACAGCAACAAGAAATGAACTCATACACGAAGGCTCAAATTTTGTGGGGAGGAGTCTGCATGTGCACACATTTCAGAACTGATGTCGTCAGTAGAACATCCATCCCAAGAATTATTTCCAATGTGTGGTAGGTACCATCATAATTTCATATATATGTTTTAAGTAAAAAATTAATTGACCCTAAAGTATTATGTAGTATGAATTCTCATATCATTTTAATAACAAAAAATCCCAGAGTCAGATATAGGGGAAATGTTGAGCAAACCCACAGCCACTTTACCTACTCAACTTCCCAGCTGAGAAGAGATTGAGTCCCTGTCTCCTCCTGTCTTATCATGCCCTTTCTCTGTCCAGCTGTTACTGGGGGCTGCTTGTTCATTTCCCAGCTGCACAGATTCCCGAAAATAATCACACAAAAGCTATATTATTTAAATCACTGCTTGACCAATCACTTAAGTGTATTGCTAGCTAGCTCTTATATCTTTGGTTAACCAATTTCTATTATTTTATATTTTACCATGAGGGTTGTGGCCTACTAGCAAGGTTCCAGCTGACAGCTGGCATCTTTCCCCTCTGGTGGCTTCATGGCATCTCTCTGACTCCACCTACTCTCTCTCTCTATACACCTCTTCCAGCCTGGCTATATTCTGTTAAGCCAATGGCCGAAAGCAGCTTCTTTATTCATTAGCCAATAAAAGCAGCACATATACAGAAGGATTTCCTACACCATCGAGACATATCACTTCCTGTCTGTCTGTACAGACCTCCAGACCTTTATGGTTAGCTAGTGGCTAGCTCTACCCTCTGATATTCAGGCAAATTTGTACAGAGAATATATCATCACACTATTAGGTATTCTGTATATAAGTTTTGAAAAGTATGTTTTATTTTAATAAAATAACATGAAAGAACAGACATCTCTCCATTGACCAGTGTAGGATGTTGGAAGTTGTAGAGTCTAGTGGGATGGGGTGACACTATAATAAACTTGGGTGTCCACAGTATGATGCCTGAGTAGGGGGACCCTGACAGATGGAATTTTCCAGAAGATTCAAAAGGAAGTGCTCAGCCTATATGACCTGAGCTCTACCGATACACAGGTCTAAACCTACCATCATTTCTCAGTCAGAGGGTGTTGAGGTTTGAGTGTGAAATGCCTCCCATAGGCTTGTGTGTTTGAGCAATTGGTCCCTAGCTGCTAGTGCTGTTTTGAGGAGGGTAAAGAACCTTTAGGATGTGGGGCCATTTTGGAGGAAGTGGGGTTTTATAGCCAGGGACCAAGGTAAATTGTAATTCAGTTCTGAAGGTTCAAGGTTTCCACGTCTCCACGACTGCCGAGGTTCTAGTCAGCTAAGGCTTGTGGAAGGTTTGGTGGAAGGCACAGCCTTGCTCTGAGAACTCTCATTCACAGTGACAACTCACTATGCCAAGACTGGGTTTTGATTGCCTACACTTTATGTAGCCGTGTTGGGGCTGCACTTCTCGGTGCTTTCTTGCAATAATGAATGAAGCCTATTACTTTGTTTGCTAATTAAAGATAAAAGTCGCTGCTGTCCGCTTCCTTCCATTCATTCTCCCCTGCTATCTGTTCTGTGCCTCTGACTCCGCGCTTCTCCCGGTACCTTTATCTCCTCATTTTCTCAGATGCTACCTGTCATTCACTGTTCCAATCTGCTCTTTCTCCAAGTGCTCCGATGCTTCCCTTTCATTCTCATTTGCTACACATCCCACATTATCATTGAGCTATTATGATTTTTCATATGACTTCTATGCTGTATTCCCTATTTATTTATACTTTCAAGTTCTACTTAATCAAAAGATCTGTCAACTTCTTGATGCCGATATCAAGAAGTACCTGCTTTAGCTTCATTTTTGTTGCTGTGATAAAATATTCTGCAGAACGCAATATGAGGAAGGAAAATGTTTATTTGGCTTTCAATTTCAGGCCCAACAATAAGAGCCGTCATGGCAGGAACTTGAAGATAGGTCTGTTTGCCATTTCACACAGCATTGCTTCTGACCAAGGAACTCACTCTACAGTTAAAAAAAGTATGGCAGGAATCATGGAGGATGTATTCTTACTAGCAAGCAGGCAGGCTAGCAAATTCTTTGATTTGTTTCTTTTCTTTTAAAAATTAAAAGAATATTGTTTGTATATGAGTGTTTCGCTTTCATATATGTCTGTGCATCTTGCCTGTGTCTGAAGCCTGTAGAGGCATAAGAGGGCATCATATCCTGTGTTTTGGTTATAGATGGTTATGAGCTGCCGCATAGGTGCTGGGAAATTGAGCTCAGGTCCTCTAGGAGATCAGCTAACACTTTTAACTGATGAGCTATTTCTTTGGCCCCTACAATTTGTATTTTTATACACTTCAGGGCTACTTGCTTAGGGAATGGTGCTCCAAAAATGGTTTGGGAACTCTTCCATCTACCAGGTAACTAACTATCAAGACAATTTACTTCAGACGTGTCCACAGGATAATATGATCTAGGCAATTCATCAACTGAGATTCTTTCCCCAGATAATTCTAGGTCATGTTAACAGTTGAAGCAAACCAGGATAGTACTAGACTTTTTACTATTCCCAAGGGCTTAGTCTTGTGATTTATTCACAGCGAGTCTCAATAAATATTTACTTATCAAAGAGTTTGGGAGAGATAAGGGCTACAATGATTACCTTGAGTCATCCCTACCAATGACCAAGTGAGTACAGTAATGATGGGAAAAGGGGGACGTTGAGGAAGATAGGGAGTGGGGAAAACCTCTGCCTTGACTCTAACCACATCATTACTATTATTTATTTATTGCCTTCTTTGTCTTAGAACCTCCTCTCATTCCCTCTCCATAATGGTCCTTTGATGCAGGTATTATTATTCTACTAAAAGGTGAAGTCTTGGAGCTGCAGAGAGTAAGCAGGCTTGCTGAAAGTGTAGAGGGCTTTTGAAACCAGCTTCTGCTCATTGTAAGAAAATCACTCATACAAACATCTAGCACGGGCCAAGAAAAGGAACAGAAAAAGTTACAGCCCAATTCTGAACAAAACCCACTGAAGGCTAAAGCTGCAAACTGGACCTCAGTCTGCAGACGTGTCTCACTTTTTTTTGACGGATGGATGGACATGATCCGGGCTTGACGATGGACTATGCCATCCGTAAAGTAGCTCCTGTCTTCCCAAGTGATCTTTCAGGGTAGTACAGCTTCTTTTGAAATGCAAATCGTTCTTCCTAGGGAACAGAAAATTTCAAGACACCAGTCTTTGATATTTATGCAAAGAGGCTTAATAGCTGGGTTAAATTTATGCAGTAAGGGACTAGACTGATTTCTTTCAAAGAGAAGCTCCAGCCAGAAAGAATGCAGAGCTCAGGACCTGTGAGGGCAGGAAGGGACAGAAACAAGGGGCCTGGGAAAGGCAGAGGGCGCGCTGCAGTAGGTTACAACAGTCTACCAATGATGAGTATCGTGTCTAGACTCCTACCACACATGCTAATTTGGGAAGTGCAACTCCCAAACCTTCATATTCCAAGGTGGGGTGGCATGATTCTTCTTATTATGCCAGATAAATATTTGCAGAAATGTTCCAGGTTTCCTGCTTGAGAAATTAGGAGCCATATTAGCATGGTGGGGAGGGCACATTCCTGTCATTTGGAGGTTCCCTAGAGATGGGTTTCAGGGTTGCAAATATCCTGATTTCGTGTAGGAGTGCAGATGTCTCTTTCTTCCATTCTGTATTTAGTCACATGGGCATAAAGCTTCATTGCCTTTTAGCCCAATGCGATGCAGACTTGTTTTAAGTGGAAAAAGCAGTTGCGGCTCTTTCCTTTCTGCTTTCTTCACCTGGCCTATGACTTCCCAATGATGAGGGCATAGGGCAGACACTGAGGGGCTAGCTTCATGCTGGATGTGCACTCATTTCACTCTGTAGACCTAAGTAGAGTTTAGCTTAAGTATTGGCCAAGAAATCTCTTGGGTGTCTTCTGACAACAGATTCTCAGAGACTCTATAACTGGCCAGACATGTTTAGATATACCCAAGTCTCAACAAAGGTGATCAACCCATGACTCTTGCTATACTGAGAAACAAGATAAAGAATTTCAAGAACAAGAAGAAGTCTTTCCTTTTCAATGCCAGTGAAGGATTCCTCATAAAGGGTAGAGCTTCTGAACACATTTCTCCATGGGGGCATTACCCACCTGACTTATTCTGAAAGCAGAGCCTGAGAAAGCAGACGTGTAGAGAACGTGTGCTCAGAGCAAAGGCGGCAAGAGGAGTGCAGGGATAAACTGAGCTTAGTTTGATCCCATGGGGAGATTGAAAACCAGAAATATACTCCTCACAGGCAAGAGGGGCAAGCTGTTGCCTTCTGGGTCAGTCTTGGGTTGTTGACTCCCCTGAAGGTGGGGGAGACAACGGAACCAAATACAGTAAGCCTATACGGTGGTGGGTGCAGAAACCAAAGTAGGTTCATTTAGGAAGTACCAAAGAGGAGAAAGATTTATTACCGGCAGTAGGTAAGGAGAGCATGGGAGTTATGTCCAAACAATGACTTTCCCAAACAAAGGAAGCATGGGGAGGGGATTTCATTTGGAAGTGTGTGTGTGTGTGTGTGTGTGTGTGTGTTTGTGTGTGTGTGTGTGTATGTGTGTGTATTAGGGTCTGGCACATTATTGAGTATGCTTGGTAGGAGTGCATTCCTGAGCATTTCCAGTTTGAGGTCATGGTTTCAAAGGAAAAGATGAGGGAAACCTTTTTAGACTTAGTGCTGAGTTTTGGAGTGCTTTCCAACTTAGAAAAGTTAAAACAGAGCCAGTCAGTAAATCTGCTTATCTCAATGTGCTTCTGCAGAAACTTAGAAAAGGCAGGCAATAGTGATGCCATGTTACGAGCCTTAAGGACAGCTGAAGTTTTTAAGATCCCTGAAAATGGCTACAGCATTATAATGCTAGGAAGCACTTACGACTGAAATAATTGTAGTAAAAAAACCTTAATATTGAATAAATAATTTGCATCTAATTTAAAAATGAAAAGCTAAATTGACTAGGTAGTAATGCCTTCATTTGTGCTGAGTGTCTGAAAAGATTCTCCTGGTTTTGCTCAAGTTCTTTTTTTCTGTGCTGCCCACCTCCTTGTGCCCCTCTTCATCAACAGAAGTGCATATTCATTCCCTCTTTTACACATGGTTATTAGACACAAACTGCATATGAAGCACTAAGGATGCATGAGAACTCAAATCAGGGTCTGGGTAGGATTTCCATACTGGCCAAGACCCTTTTACAAGACTTTCAAATGACATCTGACTTGTTCTTAAGATGGGATGGGTCCAGGGCAGCCATGGGAACAAGGTTACACCAGAGACCAGGTCTGGAGGTTTCTCCTGCCTGTTCTGGTCCCTGGATGGTCCCGATTGTCTCTGGAAGATTCTCTCGGCTTTATTCTGAGTACTCTCCACTTGACACTAAGCACACTTTCTGTGTTGAACACTCTTCCCTGTGACCAGCCTCCTCCTCTGTTCTGCTACACTGCTTGCTCTTGTTCCAGTGTTCTCTCTCTCTCTCCCCCCTTCATTTGTTTATTTATTTATTACACATACAGTGTTTGACCTACATGTACACCTGTAGGCCAGAAGAGGGCACCAGATCTCATTACAGATGATTGCAAGCCACCATGTGGGTAGTGGAATTTGAACTCAGAACCTCTGGAAGAGCTGTCAGTACTATTAACTTCTAAGTCATCTCTCCAGTCCCTCCAGTGACATCTCTTAATGAACTACCTATATTTACTGTCTCCATGATCTTGTATTCTGGCCTTACTTCACTATGTCAAAATGTCTAACGACATCTTTACTAATGCACACATTCTCTTGGTTATAAATAATTGTTCTAAGTCTTTGCACTCTTCTCTTTATGAATTAATTTCACATAATTGGCCATTTTCCTTATGCGTGCTCGGCAAGTGCTCTTTCTCTGAATGCTATTCCTCTTCAATCATTTTCATGACATGTTTTTTTTCCTCTTAGACTTGAAAAATTGCATCACCTTTTTATTCTATAGGACAACTTATTACTTTCTGTGAGTTAAAGTCCCTCTTCTCTTGTCTAATACTTGCCACCTCTTGAGGACTAAAAGGCTCTTGTCATTAAAATATTATGATGTCTTTAAGTATTGCTGTCGATAAAGGCAAGTCACTCACCTGAGCTACCTGCCAAACGCAGGTGCATCCCCTGGAAGAGCAATGCCACTTGAGAGAGTCACAGAACCGACTGGCATGACTAGAAATCCATTTGACATGTTCTGAAAGACATCAGATTTCCGTTCTTTCCCCAGAGCCCACTTCCTCACAGAAGAAACCCATCACTTGTTGAAGAGTTTGTGAAGTTTGATTTGTAATAACGAGGGCCAGACATTTGTCAAAATTCTATAACCAACCTGAGCTCTGAACAAGTAAGGGGGCTGTGTTTAAAAACACCAATGTTATAGCCTGGGGTAGCCAGCCAGTATATTGCTTGTTTTGTGAGCATGACGACCTGCGTTCAGTCCCTGGCACTACATACAAACAAAAGCCAGGCATTGTTAGCATACACTTGTAGTCCTAGCACTGGGGAGAGACACACACACACATGGATCACTGGGGTCACTGGCCAGTCAGGCTAGCTTTCTTAGAGAGTTTCAGATTAGAGATACCCTACCTCAAAAACAGAGTATTCAATTACTGATAATAACACCCAAGGTTGATTTCTGACTTCCATATGCATGCACATACATGCATATACACATACAAACATGTTCACATGCAGGCATGCCACTGAAGTTCCTTCTGAATTCAATTTTAGGTTTAGTCGAGCAATTTTTACTGAAAGAGTAGGGAGCTGAGTATGACTGCCTTGGCGTATATCAGTACTTGGCCATCATTATCACTGTCATATTTGGCTCTATTTATACTTCATCTTCTTTCTTGTTGAGGCAAGGTCGCTGGCCAAGGCTGGTCTCAAGTTCAATATACAGTCAAGGGTGGCATTGCACTTCTGATCCTCCTCATGACTCTACCTCCTAAGTGCTGAGATCACAGACTTGCACCAGTAGACCGGTGTCTGTGGTACTGGGGTCTAACCTAGAGCTTCATCAAACTAGGCAACGATGCTGCAAAGCAAGTTGCATCCTCACCTTTTCTTACTTCATCTTTAGCTTGTCTTTTTCATAAAGGATGGTGACTCTCTGTACCTCACTGGAAAAAGTGTATTTCTGTCATCATGCTAAGCTTGACTATGGGAACTTGATTTAATAGCTCCAAAGTAGACAAGGGTGTGATCAATCACAGGGCTTAACATCCTCTGCTGTGGTCATTTTGTCCTTCAACCTTCATGTGCACTGATCGCATTTTAAGAGTAGCAGTAGATTTTAGTTCCTTTCCTTGGGAACAGACACTTAGCTGAAACCTTTTACTAAGACAATATATCATAAACTTCAAGTTCCATGCTTCAAAAAAAAATCTCAACAAGAAAGAAAAATGCCACAAGAAAGATAATCTGCTCTAGGCTAGAGCAGGCAGAGGCCTGACTGGCTGGAGGAATGCTTTGGGCATTTATGTAAAACATTTAAAGAGGCTACCAAGACTCTGATCACTCATTTCCAAGCATGATAGATCCCCGCCCCCAACCTCATAACAGGGTTCTCCTGTGAGCAATATTAAGCGATGGGTAGCAGGACAGCAAGTCATTCTGGGAGTTAACATAAATTAGTTCAGAGACCAGTCTCTGCTGCAGTTGAGAAACAGTTCCTGTCACCAGTCAATGCTCACGTTCTCGAGGTTGGGTAATGCCAATAGGGTAGCTTCAGATGCTCTTGAGAACTTAGTCACACTTTCAAACATCCTTCTTTTGTTTGTTCTTTGAGACAGGCTGCCACTATGTAGCCCAGGCTGTCCTAAAATGTACAATTCTCTTGCCTCTGCTACTTTAGTGTCGGATGACAGGTGTGAACCATCATGCTTACCTTTAAAAATACCGGTGTTTATTGTTTTTTATTTTATCGTCTGTTTTGTTATATGAGAACGGGGTTTTGCCCACACATATGGCTATGCATCACATGCATGCCCTGTACCCTTAGTGCAGAGGGCATCAGGTTCCCTGAAAATAGAACTACAGATGGTCATGACCTGCCACAGGAGTGCTGGAAATTGAACCTTGGTTCTCTGATCTTAACTACTGATCCATTTCTCCAGCACAGACATATATATATGACATTAAACCTAAAGTCTTATACATGCCAGTCAAGAACTGTACCACTGAACTATATCCCTAGCCCTCAGGTGGTATCCTTTATTTCCTACTAGAAATCCTACCTTCTTATTATTCCTTCCACTAGGGATAACCAACTATCAGACCTAAGAAATGAGAAGCTCAGGGCTGTGGAATTGTCCCGTGAATAAAGTGCTGGCTGTGCAGGTATGAGGACTGGAGTTTGGATCTACAACATCCACATAAAAGCCAGGTGGATGTGCTGGCCCACTTGTAATTCCAGCCCTCAGGAGGTGAAGCAAGGGACCTCTGTGGCAAGCTTGCTACTTAGACTAGCCAAATTGGTCAGTTTCAGATTCGGCAAGGAACCCTGCCTTAATAAAAAAAATGATTCTTGATCAAGGAAGGCATCCAACATCAACCTGTGGCCTACACGTGCATGTCCATCTGAGTGCTTTTGTGCACATATCCATTTGAATATGTCTACATTCACTACACACACACACACACACACACACCATGAGAAACTCTTTAGAATACTGTTTCTAAGTTGAGAATGGAGGAAGTCAGTCTTCTCATAATCTGTTTCAGACTCCACTTCTGCCTTTCTCTAGGATATCATGTGCTCTTATCTAAGCGTTACTCTTGATAATATAAAGCAGACTGAAGAAAATGGAAGAAATCCTTACTTCGGATTAAAGGGCTTGTGTGTGTGTAGTAGAATTTCAGACACATTCTAAGATACAGATGAAACAAAAGATTACTCAGTCTTTCAAATGATCGTACAGGAGACCTCTGTTCAGAATGTTTTTAAACTTTTGTCTATTCCTAGGTAAATGGGAGAAAAATCAAAGCTCTTTTCAATAGCAAATGTCCCTTCCTGAACATATTTGGCTCCAAGCTTATGTCTCTGGAAAGAAGCAAAATGTGCTATTGAGATGGATTGAACTTCAGAATGTCTAGTCCATGCAGAGTTGGATAGAGTTGAGGCTATAAACATCCTCAAGTGAAGTTTTAGGCTTATCTTATGCCCTGGTATTTACTAGGATCAATGTTTGACAGTACAATTGTCAGCCATTGCTATATTTCATATGCTGTGGAAAATCTGGGTGGAGAACTGCAAACATATTGAGTCTTTACAATGTGTTGCCTATTCATTGTAACACGGACTTCTTTGATTTCCCTGGGAAATCCTGTGAAACTGTAGATATGTCTTGTTCCCAACACTCAATCATGAGAAAACTGAGGTTCAAAGTCATGCATGAAGGCACTCATTCCACTTCCCCCAGGTAAAACAAATCACTGACTCAAGACTCGAAGACAAGTGTTTTCATCCCTCCTTCCATGATAATTTAACTAGTTTGATTACATCAACTCTAAAAGGGCAGCATCTGGGCTAGTAATTGTTACTCTGGCATGTTCTGACAGCTAACATAATTATTATTACATGAAAAAGGTTTTAGAGCAAATATTCCATTTCTTTGAAGAGGATGGACGCTCCTGAGGCTTTACTGAGCCCTGGACATCACAGTATTCCAGAGACTCCCTAATACACAGCTTGATGAAAAACGCCAGACAACCCGGAAAAGAACAACTTTACTTGATATTTTTATTCACTTAAGAGAAACATTCACTTATCAGGTATCACCAAAGTGCAATTTACAGAACTCAGAAGAGGCAAATTAACATATGTAAATTCATATTGTAAGGTTTTGGATTTTTATTTTACAAATATTACAAATATACATCCATTGATACAATATTGCCATTCGATCATGCTTTTTTATGTACATACCTTCCACTAAGAGTGACTATTTTTTTTAAGTTCATTTTACTTAAAAAGTGCTGAAAATTAGCTGGGCACCTCTGGGAAAAATTTGATTAAATTGATTCACAGACTTCCAGGTGATAGAAATCAGGTGCCCATGTGAAAGAGGCACTAGAATTCAGATCATTTTGTATTTATTTTGAAAAGGGTGCATCATCTCTCCAAACCATTTAGAAAATGATGAGTTGGGAAATAAGGTGATATTTTCTCCAGGCTTTGAGACTGTACACTTCCCTGCACGGGTGATATCGTTTGGTTTAAATTTCTTGAGATGTGGCCATCTGTGATTCTTTGTGTGGTTGGAGGTCAGCTGACATGGACATGCTCTGGGAATCAAGAATGATCATTGTAAACCCCCATAGTCATGCTATCATATGAACACTTAGGGAGCTTCCTGAATGTGAGTACCAATATGCCTGCTACTTCACTCCTCTCGGGTAGAGACCAGAACAAAGAGAGCAGAAGTTTAGTAGGAGGGAAGTGTGACAGGAATGTGGTGTGGGGAGGTGGGTGAGAAAAGAATCTAAAGACGTAAAATTGCTGGGAGAATGAACAACTCCATTTTTGGTTTTCCCAGACTTGGGTTTGGAGAAGGTGTATGGGACAATGCTCTGCTCTCCATGATGTCTCTCTAGTGGCCTCCATCTATGTCATCTTGTTTCTTTTACCTTGTTTCTCCACCATCATTTATCTGATTCAAACTTTGTCAAAGAAGTCTGACAAAAGCCCTATTGTTCCCAGAAATAGTTGTGTTTCCATGTTTAACTATGACTCAGTACCTCGGACAGCGCCCAGGGCCCAACCTGTCCTAGCCCTCCACCGAAGTGCACTAGTTCCCATTGTACAATCTCCCATATCATCCCTAACAACATTATATTGCTTCTCCCCCTCCACCTCCAGCTAAGGGTTGGTTCTTGACGGCATATCCTTTTCTGAGGCAGCACTTTGACTTCTCTACTCCTTCACGAACTCTGCAAAAATCCAAAGCTGGGATTGTTCTTCAAAATGTTCAGCCTAGTAGATTTCTTAGTTCTATACAAGGCTGTAGATTCCATAAGAGTGATGGAGAAATAGGTTTTGCTGAATGCTGAGACTTTGGCCGGAAAATGTGATTACAGCAGCCAACTGGTAGTACATAAAAAGAAAGACATTTTCTAAATTTCCTTTGGTTGCTATTAGAAAGTGATATTTGTTTTTTTTGGGCCAATTAGGTCACTTTTTAGAACGGCCTCTTGAAAATGATCATAGAAGTTTCCCTAAATAAAAAATCTCTACTCTATTTAAATTTCAGTTGTCTTTTTAAATTTTTTAAACAAGATACTATAGACTCATCTTGAAATTTATAATCTAAAAATAGGATTTCATCAAAATACTGTAACTATTCTATTCTGGGAATTGATATACTATGTATTTACTATTTATGGCTCATCAAATATGGTAAACACTATACAAAAAGCATTTAAATTTATTGGTAAGAACGATTCTGTGAAAAGGAAATTATATGGGAAAAAATATGAGCTATGCATCTTTTAGAAAAGCAACTTAGCCTGACATCTGTGAGAGACAAGACATCACAAAATCAACAGTGACATGATAGATATATACAGGTACAAAGAGGATCACAGAAATCAAAAGAGATTGTCAGAGACTTTCAAATCTTTTCCTGGGCAAAAACCAAAATCCAAAGAAATCTTAAATTCAGTAACTTGATATTATACATTGTTGTGAAATCTTTTGCTGGAGGCGGATGTGCAGTTTCTGTGTCCTCATGGACTTTAGCATGAGATTCAGTCCTGTGGAAAGACTCACAAATGAACAGACATTGGCTTTTTGACTGAGAACCAGGCAGGAAACCTTAAATTGCTTATCTTCCCAATAGGAAAGCCACATGTTTTGGAAGTAGATAAAGATGCTGTTGACTTCTATTTGGATTTTAGGAGTGAGACTCAAAGGGTATCAATACAAAAGACAGAAGATTTGCAAACAAAGGGTGCAATGATCAAAGAGATATTAGTTTTGAGATAAATCAGATGGATAAGGAACAGCCAAAGTGATTAGGATACCTGCCTGTCCTCTTTATATTCTACCCATATTCTTTTTGATTTGTTTGACTGTGTGTGTTTTCAGGATGACTAAAAGAAAAATATGACCTATGTGTGTTTCTTTCTTACAGAAACTTCAGATGGGGTGTTTCTGAGCTGCTTCCAAGTCACCAACCCAGTAACTAAGATGCAGGGTAGCCTAAAGTAGGGTTGGGATGCTTTTGTGGATACCAAAGTGAGAAAAATTCTTGGTCTTTTGCTATTCACTCTTTCAGGGTTTATTCATGTACACCAGATTCCATGACTAGCTACTTCTGGAGTAGGTTGGGTTTCTGTAGGTCAGGGGCAGCTCATATATGTCCCAATGTGGATCGGTGTGAAATCCTGATGTTGCTACCTGTCTGCTCCAAATAGTAAATGTCACAGGACTTTTATTCTTCCCCTTAATGTCTTTTTGATTTTTCCCATTTCTTGAAGCTTATCTTTTCCTGACCTCTGCTTCTCAGCATGTGGCAGGGTTCACTTTAGATAATTTCAGCTGCTCTGTTTTCATTGAACAGATTCAGGGACCCCTACTTCCTTCTTCTCATCTCCCTCCTATGTGACACTCACTCTGACAAGGATCTTGCGAGATGGTCAACTCTTAAACAAAAGCATTTTCTGCGACATCTCTCTGAAAAGTCCTAGTGTTAAATCCCATTTGCACCATCAGAAATATCTCTTCTTGCTATAGGCATATCTGGATCCCTAGTGATCCTCACTAGGAATTGCCGGTTGCCTCCACAAGTGATTCTCAGGGCTGGAAAGTTGGCTCAGTGGTTAAGAGCATCTTCCAGAGGACCCAAATTTGATTCCCAGCACCCATATAAAGTGTCTCTAAACTGTCTGTAATTCTAGCTTCAGCAACTCTGACACTCCCTTCATCTTCCTGCAGCCTCCTGCACACACATGCACAAACCCTCCACCCCACGTAATTAGAATAAGTAAGCAAAATTTTGTGTTAGTGCTAAGGGGTAGAACAAATTCAATGGATGGCTTTATTTTCAAGGAGATATTCACCTTTAGGAAAGTTTGGATTGATTATGAGAAACCAGTACTTTAGACACCATGAATCATAGCACTAGACCTGCAATTTACGCACATGTGGTGCTCAGTGTTGGGCAATCAAGTGCTTCCCATGTCTCTTGCACAGGCCAAAGTGGTGGTATTTCCTGGGACTACTTGCAAGTTGTCCTATTCTTCCTCTTTCCATCACATGATGGAAATATTTAGGATTCTGCAGTTAATGCCATTTTTTATAACTGATAACACTGCTTGGAACACACTGTTATGAAGTGCTGTGTATTCTCCATTCCACCCCTCAAAACACAAGTAATTAGAGGGAGGTCTTAGATTTCAGCCAGGAAGTAACTGTACCTGATGGTTGAAAGACAACACATAAGCCACATCTCAGTTCTCAAGGTTTTGGAGCTTCCTCCTAGTTATACACCAAGTTATCAGAGATCACTACAAGCTGGCTCTTGATTGTAGCCTTTACACTGAGTGAAGATTCCATTTTCCTCAGTACATATACTTGCATTTGCATTTCTTTGAAAGTTTATCTTGAAAATGCTTTTACAATGGTGTTTGTATTCTTTCCTCAAAGGATGGTAGTGATAAATGTGGTCTCATATTAAATCCAAGGAGTTAGTATTTCCACTATTTTTTTTGTATCAGATAGCGACAATTTAATATATTTCATGTTTACCTTGTTCTTATGATATCTGCAATATATATTAGAATATTACACCATGATGTAATGGTTGAATTTTTATTGAGGATTGATGAGCTGGAATTCTACTCAGGAATTCCATGTTCTAAAAGTGGTTCCTCCTATACCTTTTAAACAAAACAAAAAACTAATAATGCAGTTCAGATGGGGTTAAAAAGGGTTTATTTATTTTTATTTTATATATATGATAGTTTGCCCACATGTATATAAGTGTATTGCATGGGTGCATGGAGCCCTCAGAGGCCAGAAGAGGGTGTTGTAACCACTGAATCTGGAGTTATGGATGTAAGCTGCTATATGAGTGTTGGGAATTGAACCAGAGTCCTCTCTAGGAGCATCAAATGCTCTTCACTGCTGAGTCATCTCTATAGCCCACAAGGTGGGATATTTTTAAATAAAAAAGATTACACACATGTTAACTAACTTGATGAATGTTAGAAATGGGCTCCAAGTGGAAAAATTAATTCAAGGAACATGGGTTGAGTAAAAATATGTTGCCAACATGCCTCCCTTTGTCTGGGTCTTCTCCTCTTAGGGACAATGATATAGGTTAAATATTAAAGAGATCTATGCCTAGCTATGAACTTTGATGCACATTCTAAAAGTGGAATAATTCTGTCTCTTTAATTTTGGCAGCTATGATAAATCACAACTATTCTTGTTAAAATTATTATTATTTTATTCATGCAAGATGATTAAGAAATCTAAAATGATAGAGTAGCTCCTCAAACCTAGATTTTGTTGAGTGTTTTATGTGGGTGTGTATGCTTTCTTTATTTTAACAATTCATTTGAAAATTGAGAACTTTCTCTAAGACTCAGTTTTATTACTATTACCTAATGCAGAGATTATTGGGTCGTAGTTATAACCATTCTGCAGTTCTCACTTCCATGGCTGTCATATCTATGAAAAGCAATGAAAATTTTGTGATCAAGGAATAGGCTTGGGTTTGTTTGAAACATTCTACCACTGGGCATATGAAAATCAGCTTTCTTAGATCATAGATCAGGACTCTTCTGTGTCTTAGGTAACTATCCCTTTATGTCATAAACAGGGTTTTCATTTACTTTAGTTGCTCTTTAACAGTGTCCATCTCAAGAACTTTTGAAAGACAGTGGAAAGGCCTGAATGGATAATGAAAACAATACAGCGTTCATTCCTGTTGGGTTCTTTGGAGTTGGAGAGCCCATGGCTTTTCTTTTCACCGGTGGCTTGTATGGAAATCATATAAACTTGTGCTGGGGAGACTCGATCACACCACTAGAGAGGCCCATGAAAGGGGAAGGGAGCACGGAGGATGGAGCATGAGGCTACACATAAGTACTACTTTTCACTCTTGCCTCTGAGCTCCCCTTGCCTGAAGAGATTATTTCCTTTCGACACCAGGAAGGGTTAATGCAATAGTGCTTCTACCTCTAGCTATGTGGACAGAGTTCTTGGAACTAACAACCCAGGGCGAAGCAGCATGAACAAAACTCAAATCTGGTCTCCGATCCAGACATAAACACGCGTGTTCCTGAACACTGAAGGAGAACAATGTCAAGAGTCGATGGACACACCACACCACCAAACAACTGCATCCCCTCCAGGCCTTTTGCTCTGGTCCAACAGCAAAGGAGTCTAGCGACTTAGAGACTTAGTAGAAACTGGTCTTGCTCTGGTGGCTTTCTCACCCAGGTGCCAAGCCCAGCTTTCTGAAAAGCCTTGAAGAGCTGCTGTTTAACTGACTGGTAGGTGTGAGCCCCCAGCTTGGCCTCACAGTACATGGACGGTGTGTCTCCATGACCGGGGATCCGTGTGCTTAGCTGTGGAGAGAAGGAGGAAGTGAGTTCAACCAGTCATAGCAACATGACGAGTTTCACAAGCAAAATACCAGCTTAGTTCCAACCCTTGTCATCTGTCTCCTTTGCTGTACAGTACATACAGCGGCAGGGCCTGAGGAGATGGCTTGTTTGGGAAAGGCCTGACTCTCAAGCATGAGAGTTCAGATGCCTATAATCTGTGTCAAGAGCTGCATGTGTAGATTGATGCATATAATCCCAGCCCTGGGAAGGCGGAGACAGACATTGCCTGAGACTTGTCGGCTGGCTAGTCTAGCCACTTGATGGGGTTCAGGTTCAGTGAGACCCTGTGTCAGAAAATAAGGAGAAGCAATCGACGAAGATACTCAGATTCTCTGCTTCCAAACTCATATGCACACACACCCTCCCTCCTGCATGTGTGAACACACACACACACACACACACACGAAACAAAACAAACTGAAGGGCAGTAATCTGAATTCTACTGGGAAACTGTGTGAAAAACCCAATTGTTAAGGATATTTGCTTTATCAGAAGAGCAGATGATTATGACACATGACCCCCATACAACATAACATATGACTCCCCTTCTCGTAAGGATTTGACACTGCTTTCTTAGCTGAGGTGATGATGCACACCTGTAAGCTCAGCAGTTTAGAGGCCGAGTCAGGAGGCTGCTGTGTGTTTAAGGCCAGCCTGGGGTACGTAGGAAGACACCGACTCAAAATGAGCAAAAAACCAAAACTCAGCAAGACCCAGAAAGAGAGGAGGTAGCTCTGAGGGAAACAGGCCAGGGAAAGATCACAGAACTTGGATCATGTAGGCAACTCCTACGAGGGGGTGAGGAAGTACTTGGAAATTGCTGAGCAGAGCCAGGAGGGAACAGAGAGTTTAAGTGTCATGGTAACAACAATTTCAATCGGGAGAGTGCCCAAGTGAACTGAGACTTTTCAGAGGTAAATGTCCCAAATCACAGAGGAGAGGTGCCGCTTTTCACATGATGGTGGCCAAGTAGGGCATGAGGAAGCTTCCTGACACACCAGTGTGGCTTTTGTAGTAAAAGTAGAAAAACAGCACCAATAATAAAACCACTGATTTTTATATTCTTTCCAAAGGATTGCTAGGGTAGGTTTGTGCACTAACAGCTTCATGGCAGGCAGGAGAGAAGAGGGCCTTTGAGTTGTGTTGTTCATTTACTAGAAAGGCAGTAAAAGTAGGATGTTATCGGGCTTCTGAGTCATAGGAGGCAAAAGGTGGAGCAACGTAAGGCAGGGAGAACATATCCATCCATGTCCAGTCCCCCAACAGAAGGACAGAAAGGCAGAGGGCAGGCCTGTGGTAGGGGAGCCTCTGATAGCACTGCAGACTTCCCAGAGGGTTTGCAGGTCAATGTGTCCGATCTGTGGCCAGTGCCACGACGATCATGTGAACAAGAAAAGGACCTATTTGTTCAGCAAGACAAGAAGAGCCAGTGCCTCTCCAGACCTTTCAAAGTCCTTGGAAGAAGTGAGACATGGGAAAAGGGATAGGTGCGGGCATGGTAGAGGCAGAGCGTTCTAATCAGAACTGGAGTATATGGTGCCATATTGCATATCTGCATGGTTGTGGCAGAGGCAGCTTACTGCCAAACTCTTAGATGACTGTAATGTTTTTTTTAAACATTCTTTGAGGAGGTAAAAATGCTTAAGCACTTCTATATCTGCTATTCTACAGGTCAATATACCAATCAAAACACTATTATTGGGTGTGTATTTCATATGGGTGCCCATGTGTGCAGGTGCACAGAGACCCAGAGGCCAACCTCAGGAGTAATGCTCTTCAGAAGGTGCCAACTTTGTCCACACCCCTTAGAGAGACCGCTAAGACAGGGTCTCTCACAGGCCTAGAGCTTTCTGATTAGGCTAACTGGCTGGACAGCTAGTCCCAGGAACCCACCTGTCTCTGCCACCCCTGTTCTGGGACTACTAGTGCCACCATGCTGGGTGTTTTCACACGGTCTCTGGGGCTTTAACTCAAGACCTCGTGCTTGCGTGGCCAGGGTTTCATTGACTGAGCTTTGTCCCAATACAAAAAAAAAAAAACGAGCAAAATACTTCCTTTTCCCATCATCTTAGTATAACGTATGCTTTCAAAGTACATAAAAGTCTGCATTTCAGTCTTAACCCTCCAAATGTAGCTATTATATATTTATAAATGGAAAGTAGATTCTGAAACATTGCTCTAGTAGAAATGGGTAGCCTTCTGGGTTGGAGAAAATTGCTAATTCTGACAGCCACCATCTTTGAAAATTAGTGGGAAATTACTTACTCTTCCTCCCTCCCTCCTTCCTTCCCTCCCTCCCTCCCTCCCTCCCTCCCTCCCTCCTTCTCTTCACTTCATCTGTGTGTGAGTGTATGTGTGTGTGTATGTGTGTGTGTGAGTGTGTGTGTGTGAGCGTGTGTGTCATGATATGCACTTGGAAGTCAGAAGGCAAGTTGCAGATGTCAGTTCTTTCCTTTTATCGTGTCAATCTTGAGGACTGAACTTGGGTCCTAAGGCTTGGTGGCAAGTGCTTTTATCCACTCAGCCACTTTGTCAGCCTTTATATACTTTCTGAGGAGTAGTTTCTTTATATCTGAACTTGAAATAATATTATTTTTTCTATTTTAAATGTTTTAAAAAGAATTTACTGTATTATTTTATTTTATGTGTATATGCATGGGTGTGGGTGTATATTTTCGCACCACATGTGTGCAGTGCCTGCAGAAGCCAGAAGAGGGCATTGGATCCCTTGAAACTGGAGCTACAGACAGTTGTGTGTGGTCATGAGATTTCTGAACTGAACCCTGGTCTCTCCTAGAGGAGCTAGTATACTTAACCACATGGTCTTCTCTCCCTATGTACCTTTCTTATGACACACTGCGTAAACCAATTGGCACAGTGCCTGGTGGCATTAGCTGGCCCAACAATAACCTCTTTTGTTGCTTGACTTCACAGAGACATACTTCCCAAGCCCTGAGGACCACATTTGGGTAGCAGAGCTGTAAGTGCGTGGGGGAAATTCCTGGACAGTCAGCTGAAGAAAGGGCAGTAACCCTGGGGATCAGTTTGCATGTCCTGTCTCACAATTACTACAGATCAAATGATGACCTAGTTCCCTGGAGCTTCCTCAGGATTTTAACCAGAGCCCAGGTACAGCCAATTTTCTCCCCAGAAAGGACCGGTGCGACCTACCCTACCATGCAGCCGTGCCCACCGAGCAGAAAACACGTGCTTGCAGAGCCGGGATGAACCCCCACAGCTCCTCTTCCCAGTTGTGGCATTAATGATCTCCAGGTCGGCACTGCCCACGATCCAGTTGGCACTGAACTGGGGAGACTTTCCTGGTTGCCGGGCCTCAGTGTTACTCACGCCTGTCAAGAGAGAAATAGAAAGCAGTCAAGCATTCATATTCTTCAGCTGAAACAGGGCTCCCGTGAGATAATGGGAGCTAAAGCCTGTGTTTGAACTGGGATGAGACATTCATATAAATACTGTCTTGCTATTCTTCTTTAAAACTTAGTCACGTTGAAGTCATGGTTTCACCTGTCTGGTTGGAGGTTGGAAGTCAAGTTCAACTCTGAAGAGAGCCTTGTATTGGAATTCATCTTGGACCTGCTGTTAACCTTTTAATTGGAAGGATTTTATGGGCAGATTTTTCCCCCTCTTCTGGGAATGTTTGTTGAATGAATTAACAAGCAAGCAAAACTATTTAAAAATTCTAGAAATGTGAGCTTATTGGGCACCCACTGAATACCCCAACCACAAGATTATTCAAAAATTCTTTAAAGGTCCTTAGTTTTATGGTTTAGTTATGAGGAAGAGACCCCAGATTTAATAAAGGAGCTATAGAGCTATATATTTAGGATAATCAGTCAAGCAATGCAGCTTGTAAAAGTATTAATAAAATTCAGTGTGAGATGAGAATGTAAATCTATTTATTGCAAAGTTACTAAGAATTTCAAGCCAGGCCTGGTGGTTCAGGCTAAGGCAAGAGGATAACATGTTCAAGGCTTGGTTGGGCTATAGATTGTGGTTAAGGACAACTGGAGTAACTTAGTAAGATCTTGTTTCCAAATAAGAAAGAAACAAGAAGAGGCCTAGGGATATACAACACGGGTAGAGTACTCACCTAGCACTCTAAGACAGGGTCTCTCACTGGCCTAGAGCTTTCTGGTTAGGCTAACTGGCTGAACAGCTAGTCCCAAGAACCCACCTGTCTCTGCCAACCCAGTTCTGGGACTACTAGTGCCACCATGTTGGGTGTTTTCATATGACAGCATAGCATTAAACCTAGCTCAGGTTATTTTAAGTTAAACTCCCCATGTACCTGAGAGGGTGGACTCTTGGGGAATCTGGTAGTATCTAGAAGGCTTCCAGAATTTTCATGAAAACCCTCATTTTATGGTGCACCTTTCCTCCCCTGTTGGACCATGTGCTCTGATGTTCTGATGTGGGATTCCCCTCTGTAGGCTGTGAATATGTTTTATTACCATTGATTAATAAAGACTCTGCTTTGGCCTATGACAGGGCAGAATATAGGTAGGTGGGAAAACTAAACTGAATGCAGAGAGAAAGAAGGAGGAGTCAGGCATATGCCATGGAGTTGCCCAAGGAGAGAGAAGCAAGCCAGTCACCAAGGAAACAAGATATGTAGAAAATGAGGTAACACCATGGCCATGTGGCAATACACAGACTAACAGAAATGTGTTAATTTAAGATGTAAGAGCTAGCTGGAAATACGCCCGAGTCATTTGTCCAACAGTGTTGTAATTAATAAAGTTTCTGTGTGATTATTCAGGTCTGGGTGGCCAGGAAACAAAAAAGCAGTCTCCGTTTACAGTGTTCAGGTGGGACGTGACCCTTACACAGGAGAGCAGAGGGAGAAAGTCAAGACTTTCTACTCTGGGTGATAGACAGTCTCTGGTCAGTATGGGGTTCTGTGCTTTCCACGTCATACTCTGAGCTCCAGCCTCACCTCCTGCCTGACTATCTTGCAGTGCTCCTCATTGTGATGAGAACTTCCTGGAAATGTTGGGGTGAGTTTTCTGATAACTACAAGGAACACCTGCTCTCTCTGTTCATACTAAGTGCCCAACACAGTCAAGAGTCTGGAAGTGTCTCATGATTTGTCTCTCTTCTACTTTTCTTGGAGGCTATGGTTGCTGACCCTTGACATCCGGGGAGTGATCATCTAAATTAAAAACACAGTTTGGAGACATGTGGCCCAGATGAGTAGAGCCAGATCGTTTCCACGGCAACCGCATGCATAACAAATCGCACCCTCTTAAGTTCTGTGGGATCTACGGTATAGTTCATTCTTTGCTTGGAGTCTTGGGGGGGGCACCCTGAAAGTCAGCAGACAATGAAGTCAATCTCTTGTCTGGACACTCCAGTGATGCTCTGGAGAGTTTGGTTTCCAGCCCGGAAGCCCTTGTCAGTTGCCCTCTCTCCATGCCTCTTGCATCTCTCATCCTCCACAGTGCCCATAGCTTCAGCTGCAAGCATCTTGCAGCTCCACAGGTCCAAATGCAGCCCAGATAGATCTCTTTCTCCTTTTGTGTAGTTTTAGCATGGGGAGATCAATCCTGTTTCTTATCCAGCTCTGCATGTCCATTTCTGCTTCTCTAGTCATGGACACTAGACAGATGGACTCACAAACAGACATTTCCAGCCCATAGCCAGCTCCATGCAGTAAAGGACAGCTACGAACGCAGCCCACCACAAATTCATCACTTTTTTTTTCACTGCTGTGACAAAATACCTGACAACAAGCAGTTTAAGGAAGGAAGAATTGTTTTCCTGGCTTATAGTTGGAGGAGACACACTCTATCATGGTGGGGAAGGTGTGACAGGCAACAGTGGGAAGCCGGCTGGTCATATTGCCTCCATGGACAGGAAGCAAAAGGTGAATAGGAAGTGAGGTTGGGTTTATACACTCTCAAGGCCTGAATCCCACTTCCTTCAGCCGGGCTCTACTTGTGAAAGGTTCCACAACCTTCCTACACAGTCCCAGCAGGTGGGAACCAATCGTTACATGAGTCTATGGGGGACATTTCACACTCAAACCACAACACTCTAAACATAAATTTGCTATTTTTTTTTGTAACTTGCATGATTCTCCCACATGATTTTTGTAGAAGAAAACATTGTGTTAAATTTTCAAAAGAATGGACATACCTGAGAGCTTTTCTTAGTTTGCCCATTTATCATATAAGTGTCTGGAGGCTGCAGGGGGGCACCAAAGGTTTGGCAAGAGCCTTTGGTCCAATGGGATGGCTGCTCAGGGGTCCCTGGGATGCGCTACACTTAATAGAGAAGCCCACACGTTGGGAAGCAGTCCAGGTATAAATCACGACTGGGTGAGAACACTAGGGGTCAGGGGCCTAGATTCAACTCTGTGTAAGGGGGCAGCTCTCCTCTCCGTGGGTGATCTGCTCAAACTGGGCACTACACAGTCTCAGACTTCAGGATCCTCCCGTTCCCCAGTTCCACCTCAGTCTCCTTGGATGGAACAGAGGCATGCTCTCTCAGCGCATGGTCACTTAGCTTTGCTGGTTGAGACCAAAACAGCCCAGCTCTCAGACTGAAAGTCACCCTGTGCCCTTCTGGTCATGGATGGACAACGTTGGACATTCAGGCAAATTTCATCCACAACAGCTCTTTTCCTTAGGAGTGGTTCACCGCCGTGGCTACCCACCCCTGAGAGCTAGGCAGGGGGGACAATCTGGCCCATTGGCAGCCGTGGACTGTCCTGCTGGGCAGGGACTATCTCGGCAGGAAGAGACAGCTGCTGAGGTCAGGGACGACTGGGTACGAAGAGATGTGATCACTGCTTTGGAATTGTGAACAGCCAGAATCAGCAGCCTGGCTTTTCCTCCATCTCTGCAGGTTTCCTGCCCCTCCCTAGTCTCTTATCCCTCTGGTTTTTGTGCTGGGATTGACCACTGACGCATGCATTTGGGGTTTCTCCAAAATCCTAAACTCTGAATTCAGAGGAAAGCCTTCGAATGTCTGAGGTCAACACACGACCTGCCTGCTACCTTGCAATTCATTACACTCTCCTCCCCCATCCCCTGCCCATTCTCTTTCTATTACTGCTTTCCTGGAGACAACATTGAGCTTTGCCATTGGCTCTCAGCAAGCAGACACCTGCCTTGGAGATGGCTCAGCTATGAACTGGCTGGACGCTGCTCTCAACACCCTTGCCTGCCAGACTCACCAGAGCCCAGACAGTCCAGGGAGGCAGCCGCGAACATTCTTGTGTCTACACATGAAGAATGTAGGGGAAGGAGGGAAGGAGTGCTATCCAACAGATGGAAGCCGCAGGCCGGCAGACTTGGACTAAATGTGAAAACAAGACTCTGGACTTCAGAAATGCAGAGACTTGGTTTCCAGCCTGTCTTTGGCCTTGGCACACATCATTTATTCCCTTTTGATCACTGATGATGGCAACTTCATTTCATAACGTTAAGTGAAGATGACTTGAGACAGAAGGGAGCACTTTCTAACCATCAGATGCTCTAGTAATTATTATTCAGAGGAAGATTTGAAGGTCACCTCTAGTTTGTTTAGTCTTCTCCAAGCTACACACCAAGACATCCCCAGGTATAGGACAGAAAATATGTCAGGTTCAGTGATTAATTACCTAATTGTTATAGGGAATGGAGTAACCAACCAACAACAGAAGTCAGGATTATTTTTATATTAAACATACATTTTTTGACTAACATTTGACACCCCTGTTAGAGTTGTTATTGTCTTCTTATACTCCGAGCCACCACTTTACGGTTTATTTTTACTCTATTCTCTACCTGCAAAAACAAAATTTCTCTCCAAAGTAACCTGTGGGAATGGAAATCCAGCCTTTGATGTCATTAAAAATTTTAAAAACTTTCTGCAAAGAAATATCACTTGAAATGTTGACTAAGCGTTAGCGCCAGAAGAGCAATTTTGACAGTGCTGTAATTAATAACTGGGTTCTGACGATAGTAAAGGAGATGGAGCCGTGTGCCGGACTCACTTGAACGCAGTGTGCAGATTTACCAATGTGCCATGAAACATATGATCACCGCCCAGAATGCTCGCATCAGGCTGACACCACAGTCTTTCTCTGTAGGGCCAACGCCGTAAGGGGACAGTGTCTTGGGATAGTGTTGGAGTGCAGGAGAGTCTAGTTCTTTAGCCATTGGTCAGCACCAGGTTACTTCTTTCCGTGAGAAGGCCCACAGTGGCATGGTAAGGAAGAAGTTCTGAGTGCGGTCTCTGAGACATCATGAAGACTGCTTTCTGGTTTGTCCCAGTCTCATTTGCTATGCATGTTTTTTTCTGTTCTAAGTGATTATTTTCATTTTCCATTTCTCCTACCCCCACT